ATCTAATCTATCTATCTTCCTACCTCTATCTAATTAACTCTCTCTTTCTCTTTCTTTTACACAGTATAGGCCTATAATAGACCATCACATCCACGCAAGACCCCCACCCTCCCCCTTTCTCGCAATTCTTTGGGAATTGTCTGTCATTCACTTGTTTGACACAACAGTCTTTCAAATGACTTATTTAAGCCGTTTTTTAACTATGACACTTCATCAATAGGCTACTAAAATAAAACCCCTCCACTCGTCGTAACAAAATTGATTTTTGAACACAAGAGGTTGTTCATGTTCGTTTATGAACTATGCTTGTTACGATCGAGTCGTTTACTTTAAATTAAAATTATGCCTATTCAGAGTTCAAGCTGAAGTTGGGGACCATTCGCAAGAGGTGCTATTGATTGAATTCTTGTTAGCATCCAGCAAACCCGAAGGGTAAAATGCTAACAAGCTAAAAATCTATAACAATAATAACAATAATAGTAATAATAATAATAAAATAATGAGAATAATAATGATAATGCAAATAATAATAATAATAATAATAATAATAATAATTTTTAAAAATAATGACAATAGTAGTAGTAGTAGTAGTAGTAGTAGTAGTAGTAGTAGTAGTAATAATCTAATAATGGTAATAATGAAGATAATTAGGATAAATTTTAATGATGATGATGAATCGATGAGCGAATGGCAAAGCAATTTTTTTTCTTTAATTTTTTAAATGTTATTTTACGTATTACAATCTTTTTTTTTGTCTATTTTTTTTAAAGTTAGGATGTCCTACATGGATTCAATCTAATGCGAACGTGTTACATGTATAAGACACTGTTTCTAATTAGAATAAAATTGTTAACACGATTTTCTAAAAACTGTCTTTTTGTATCGTGTAACTTCCTTTTAGCTTGTTTCCCCAAAACAATTTATTTTCAAGAATGTTCTCTTTAATCTTAACGTTTTCCCCTCTAGGACTAGGACTAGGTTAACGTTTATTTAGAGCTTGAATTTAATTTCGCAGATCTGACACGACAGTAAACCTTTACTATGTTGATGGCTTCACACAAAGTGGGTGATGGTGTATTTGATCCCCTCCAGCAGTGCAAGAGTTATTGTTAAATGATTGAATTGTTACGGTGGTTTCGATTCAGTTAGAACATTTGAGAGGATGAAATTCTGTTTGTGAAACATAGTGAGGGCGTTAATAATGCTCTCCCTTCTCTCTCTCTCTCTCTCTCTCTCTCTCTCTCTCTCTCTCTCTCTCTCTCTATCTCAACCCTTTTGTCTCACCCCCTCTGTCTCTCCCTCTCTCCTTATCACCCATCTGTTTCTCTATATTATAGTATAATGTATTAAAATGTATCAAATGACACTTCTTTACCAAATAAATCTATTCTTCTATACCCTTTGCGGTGTTGTGCAAACAGATGGCTGAACTCGAAGACTGTTTTCGTTTGTATACGGCAGTTTCAAGGGCTGTTTCTACACATTCCTAACTCCTATTTCTTAGTACATGTACTGACAGGGACAGTCTCTGAGAAGGATTTTTTAAAAACAGTTTCACATAATTAATTGATCTCCTCTTTTGTTGACAAAAGTTAAACAGAATGTGTCCTTCCCGATAGTTGATAATGATTAATTATGATAATGCTTTTTTTTTTCAGTACATGTACCAGATCCCCTTCTTGGCTTTTACCTTCTTGAATAATTATTAACACATTGAAAACGAACCCTTTTTTTCTTTATGAAACCGCAATCCTGTGGTAGTGTGTCAATAGTGTAGGTCTACATATAAATGAATGGATATATTGATACAAATACAAGAGACGAGAAGTATAAATGATGTAGGCCTACGTGCACATTATGTATCATACAGTCTAGCACTCACATAGCAAAATATGTGGGACTCGAAAAAGTTTTATTTAACTTATTGGCCTTTTATTACTTTTAATCACGTGCATAACAAAATTTGCACATAACGAAACCCTTTCCTTTTTCCGTCGATTTCGCTATCAGGCGTTAGAGTCATTTTTTGGATAGATTTATTCAAAATTCTTAAGCTAGACGCTGCATCTGTGCACCGTTACATAAATTTACCAATCTGGTGGGGGGGGGGGGGGATTATTGTTTTGTTTTGGGAACCGAGTTCAGGGCTTTGAAGGAACTTGCTGGTGGATTTTCACCAAGATAAAATTATTAGTTTAGAGCGACAGTGGTCTCTTATTGACAGTGG